AAAAAAAAAAAAAAAAAGAAAAACCAGCAGTAAAGGAGGAAAAGGAACATCTTCCCCAAGCCAGAGCACATGGATAATGTAACTGTGACACAGACACCCTCCCACGGGCTGCAGCTCCTACAAGAAAAGCAAGTAGCTGCTGAGCACAAGCACGTCCATATGGGAGGGGGATGTTTTAAGTGCTGACACAGATTTGGCTGACAAACGTGGTGCTGGCACACTGTCTCCTCTGAAATAACAAATGCTGCCGCAAAACGTGCTCTGCACTGCTGTGTCTGTCCCTGTGCACTGTGAAAGTGGCTCCCAGGGAGTTCACCCATGAAGCTGAGAGTTCCAAAAATCAAGACCTTTTGTTTGAAGTTTGGTCCTTTGGAAACGGCAGTCCTGCCATTCCAGGTGACCTGGTGGTGTCCATAGGGCAATGCCAGCACAGACCCATTCACAGCAAGAGGACAATAGATTCTTAAATTAATCTGATTTTTTTCCCACATGTTCTTACAGACACATAAATAATGGGATTATTCCTTGCAATTCCAGGAGAAGAGTAATTTTGTCCTGTGCTGCAGCTCCCTGCCTACCTTGACAGAAGTCTGCTTTCCTGCTCTGATCTCTATGGTCAAGGTGTAGCTTATCTTGGAAAGTGGAATTGTGCTGCAGGGAGGGAACAAGGTTTTGGCAGGGCAAGGAGAACACCCAGGTAGGTGAGTGAATTATGGCTCAAATGGCTTTGGACACTGGGGCACTGGGCTGGGTTTTTTTCTGCAATTATTGAAAAGGGAAAAGTAACCAAACAAACGTGTGAGAGGGCTCGGCCGCTTTTCACCTCTCAGGTGCTCTTGTCTGCAGTTGCATGTGCCAGCTGGGACCTACATCCCTGATCTCCTGCTACTTAAGCTGATAGTGTGATGCAGTGCTCTGGGAAAAGCACTGTGCTTCCCTTCTGGAGCTTGTCCACCCCCCAGAGCAGGTGGAAGAAGGCAAAGGGATGAGTGATGCAGCAGTGTCCCCTGGTTAACCCTCCCTGCAATCCCATCTGCAGATAAAACTGCAGTGGTCACGCTGAGAGGGTGTCCCAGATGGGACCACATGCACCACGGCATGCTACATTCTGCCTGAGCCAGCCCCAAAAAGCTCTGCTACAGTGAGGAAGAATGAAGTAAAGGCTGTAACTTCTTGGGATCTACTTAGAAACCCTGTGAAGCCCTGATGGATGGGCCTTGCTTGGCTTGGGGACTATAAATCCCCAGCTCTGCTGGTGATGACAGTGCCTCTGCTCTGGCATGGGTGGCTGGCAGGACTGGGGGGATGTCCCTGCTGCCTTTGGGGGCATTTTTGCTGCCCTGAACTACTCCCCTCCCAGGACCATACGGGCCACTAAGATGATTAAGGGATTGGAGCAGCTGCCATGAGAGCTGCCATGAGGCTTGGGACAGGAGTTCTTGTCCATGCCTGGCAGGGGGTAAAGAATCACAGAATAGTAAGGTTGGAAGGAACTACTATGGCTCATCTGATCCAACCTCTCTGCTCAAGTGGGGTCATCCTAGAGGGCATTGGACAGGATTGTGTCCAGATGGTTCTTTAATACCTCCAGTGAGGGAGACTTCACACCCTCTCTGGGCAACCTGTTCCTTTGTGTGGTCACCCACACAGTAAAGTTGTTCTTCCTCATTTTTATATGGAACTTCCTGTGCATTAGTTTCTGCCCATTGCTGCTTGTCCTGTTGCTGGGCATCACTGAGCAGAGCCCTGATCCAACCTCTGGCACCCTCCCTGCAGATACTGGCAGACATTGATGAGGACCCCTCTCAGTCATAACTTCTCAAGGCTGAACAGCTCCAGCTCCCTCAGTCTTCCCTTGTGAGAGAGATGTTCCAATTCCTTTATCATCTTTGTATCACTCTGTTGGATCTGCTCCAAGAACTCCATGTTTCTCTTGTACTGAGGAGCCCAGAACTGGACACAGCATTCCAGATATGGCCGCACTAGAGGTGGAGGGGCAAGATTTTGCCCTGCTGCCAATGCTCTTCCTAATGCATCTCAGGATACCAGTGGCCTTCTTGGTTCCCAGGGCACACTGCTGGCTAAGGGACAGTGTCTTGTTCACCAAGACTCCCTGGTCCTTCTCTGCAGAGCTGCTTCCCAGCAGGTTGACCCCCAGCAGGTTGGCCCCCATCAGGTACTGGTGCATGGAGTTATTCTTCCCCAGGTGCACCATCATGGTAGATGTTCAGGGATTTAAACCACCAGACGGTGATGGGCAGGATTTGAGAAGAGAAAGGCAAATAACACAAGCTTTAAAAAATCACCAGTGAAACCACAGAGACATATCACAGAGAGGGGGGGAGCAGTTCTGGAGGCCCCCAGCCCCACAGTGACACCATGCAGAGTATAGGAGCAAGTGCCCCAGCAGCCCTACTTCATGCTGCAGACAGAAATATCCAGGATCCCCCCTTTCTGCCCAGCCCAATCAGGAGGTGGCACAAGACCCAACGCTCTGCCATGCACTTTGTAGTCTGATGCCACCTCCTCCTTGGTGGGGCAAAAGGCTCTGTGTCACCAGCCTCATGCTGCCAAGGCCACTGAACTCAGGAAATTTAATAAAAGCAGTGAGAACCAATTGTGTTGCGAGTGTCAGGGAGGTGGCCCCCACCATGCTGCTGCACCATGTTGTCACAGCCACCAAGAGGGCAGAGTTCCTAGGAGAGCCAGAGGACACAGTGCTTCCTTCCCAGCAAGCTTCCGAAAATCCAGCAGCTTGTTGGTGCTGAGGAGCTGCATAGGAGGGGCACGAAAACCTCCAAAAAACCACCAGCCTCAGGGAATGTGGTGAGGGATGAGCAGGAAGAGGGGATGCAGAGAGCAGCCTCCCTCCCAGCCCAGTGATGTGTCCCTCACACAGTGAGGTGGGGACAGCGGAAATCCTGGGACAAGGCACAGCCAGTTAGGCAGAGCAACTCACAGGGTGGTTTAGCATTCCCTGTCACACCCATCCGGTGTGGGAACATTTGGGAACATGGCCTGGTCACCACAGCTGCTGCAATCTGCTTCCAGTGCTGGACATGGGTCCTTACTGGTCCAAACTGGAAGTCAGGGCCTAGATAACCAACAGCAGCTAGAGATGGGAAATGTGTGGATTTACACACGCACACACACACACACACACACACACACACAGGGTTGTTTCCATTCCCAGGGCAGCCCCAGTTTTGGTGGCCCGCATCATGTGTGGCCACCTCCTGCTACCTTGGGTGATGCATCCCATGCCCAGCAGCCAAATTTTGGCAACATTTGGCTGAGTTGCAGGGCCAGAAATCACAATTATTTCCCATTACATCCCCTGTCACCCTCCAGGCAATTATGCTGACACCCAACACCCAGGGCACTGGGGCCCAATAAACACCCTTACAGCAACACAGATGCTCTTTAAAGATTTTTATTTCTGCTTTAAAATCAAAATTAGTCATTCTCTGTAATTACATTATATATAGATTTATAGAGACAATATAGAAAAGAATTTTTTGCTTTTGTTTTTCTGCAAAAATCTGTAAATAAAAAATAAAATAAAATAAAACAAACAAACAAACAAAAGGTGGCAGCTTCTGTCCATCCGTCTGTTCATCCCTCTATCGCTCCTCCTGCCCCTGCCCTCCACAGCACTTTCCAACAGGCCAGGAAAGGCTCTGGGCTGAGGCCACATCTCACTACACTCCCTAAAGCCACAAGCCAGGGAGGGACAGGAGCACGTGGAGCTGGAAAGAAGAAACGCCAGCAGAATATATTAATATCTTATATTTCATTTTATTTAAGTCCTGGGGAATCCAGGTGGCAGAGGGCAGCAGTCCCCACGGCCCTGGCAGCTCCCGGAAAGAAACAGCGAGGTTTCCAAAGTGCAGGTCCTTCTGGGACAGGGCGCATGCCCTCGAGCAAGAGGAAGGCAAGAGGAGGCAGAGAAATCGGTACCTCTCCCTGCCACCCCAGTCCTGGCAGCTGTAGTGGAGGGGGGCAGGAAGGGTGGACTCCCTGGGTACTTTAAATAGCGATCAGAGGGTGGGATGTGCAGCGAGCCCCCTGCCCAGTGGTGTGGAGGTGGCACCGTGGGGCCGGTGGCCGGGGACAGGGAAGCGGTGCTCCGTAAGGCAGTGTGCGGCCATGGCGAGCTGCCGGCGGGGGTAATACTGCGGTGTGCTGCCGGGTCCCCAGTCCGTGCAAGCCCGGGTGGCCCAGCAGTGCCTTTGCCCTCAGGGATGGCAGGTGGGTGTGCGTGGGTCTCAGAAAGCTGTACTGGCCATGCTGGCTGGTGCAAAGATCCGCGGGAGGTTATCCAGGGTCTCCTCCAGTCGCCGGTGAGCTGATTTACCGTCTTCCCCTGCAAGTACATGCCATGGTCAGTGATACAAGTTCTGTCCTCTGCCAATCCTGGCCACCTACCCTGGCCTTTCCAGGGAAACATGCCTAATACCTGGTAGAGCTGAGCCTGTGTGCTATGGCTACAGCATGGAAACCTCTCTTGTTCTCTACAGAACACCCCTGGGCAGGTCCCAGCTGGGTTCTGGATCTAAAAGTCCCCATAGCTCCTGATTCAGAGGTTGTAAATCCCATTCTCAGCTGCCCATGCAGGACAGGGTTAACCCAAGTTTTGGCTGCAGAACTGTTTACTTGTGGAGAGCCTCACTTGGGGCCAAGATACCAAGGTATCAGGGCTGTGCCAGCTCCGGTGGCTACAACAGCTGTGCACATCTGCATGCACTGGCATGAGGGTTGCAAGGGCTCCCCCAGAACCCCCAGGCACACACAGAGATGCACACATCCATGCTACAGGCTCACTCTGAGTTCTGCCTGCAAATCTGCCCGCAGCGGCCATCCCCAGCAAGAGATGGTGACGTGGACAATCTGCTGGGATGTAGGACAAAAGGTATCTACATGTGTCAGGGTGGCAGTGGGATGTGCACTATCAACAACCAAGACACACAGACTCCAAAATGTGACACAGCTGACAGGCTCTAAGACAGAGACATTCGTGAGCAAAGCAGCTGGAGCAGGGACAAGGGGTACAAGGACAGCTCACGTGTCCCAACCTGTGCAGCAGCTGCCACGATCTGGAGGCCTAGAAACACACTCAGATGGTTCTCTCAGGGCCATCTAGCAAATAATAAATAACAACCAGGCTTAGTGCTGTGACTACAGGATGCCTGGCCCTCGCTGCCAGCTTGCTCTTGGCTGGCAGAGTTCAGGGCGGGATGAACCAGAGTGCGTGGGGTAGCCATGGAGCCCCATTTCCTGTGGGCACTGTTGGCACCAGGAGACGCCACTTGGGATGCTATGGGTGGGGAGCAAGCAGAGAAGCAGACAGACACTCACCGCACAGCATCAGACTCTGCTTGGCTGCCTCCCGCACAGGCTCTTTGTCGGTTTGGCACAGGTAAACCAGCTGCTCGATGCTCTCCTTGGCCTGCAGGAGAAAGAATAAGGAAATGAGTTTTGGCTGTCAGGCCTGGAGCAGGAACACAGCCATATGGGGAAGGTAGCAGAGGGCGCTGCAGTCCCATGGTGTAGAAAAGCCCCTCATCCTCTTTTCCTCCTCATTGTGTTTCCTCTTCCCCTGGAACATGCAGCCCTGCTGTCTCCTCCCCACATCTCTCACCTTCAAGCAGCCCAGCGCCGCACACCCTGCCACACGTGTCTGCACCTCCTCATCCTCCAACTGCTCCAGGAAACACACGAGGGCCTGGGGGAGATGGGGGAATCAATGCCACCATCTGTAGCAGAGTAGGGGCAGCACCCCAGGGCTGTGGCACCAGCCCACGTCACCCCTGGCTTGCCCAGCACGTACCCGTTGGCGGAAGCGGGGGTTTTCTGCCAGGCTGCGGAGCTGGGCTGACACAGCGCTCACCACCTTGCTGTTGCCCTCCACGAGGAGCAGGCTCAGCGCCTTCAGCCCCTCCTTCTTCAGGCGGCCCTCGGGCATGCGCTTCAGGGCACGCAGCACCACGTCCTGGTCGTCCGAGTTGAGGTTCTGTGCCAACAGTGCTGCAGGAAGCCATCCAAGGTGTGGGGAGTCGCACAGCACAGCTCCCACACCCCTGCTGTCCCTCCCTGGGCACCTTGTATCCATGCTGGGCCCCACACAAGGTGCCAATGCATAGAATTGCTCCCCAAGACACTGAGGGACCTACAGCAAGGATATAGAAAGGCAGCATGGGACTGGGCTGCACTCTGGATCAGACTGACTTGCCCAACCCAAGGATGGCTGAGCCTCTTGGTGATGCCCCAGAATGGTCATGGCACTGCTGCAGAATGATCAATCACTATGGTGATACTCTGGCACCCCATCCCAGGACTTAAGGAGGGTGGAAGGACACCTACCTTCCTCTGCCAGCTCCATCATGTAGGTGTCAAGCACCAGGGCACCGAGCGACTCAAAGTGGCTCCAGTACTGGAAGATGGTGACCTGCTCACTCTGGGTGCTGCCAGGCCGCCGGGGCAGCCGCCGATTCAGCACCTCCTCCACCAGTTTCACACACACTGTGGGAAAGAATCAGGAACACAGTGTGCAGCAGCCATGGTCATCCCTCTGTGGAGCTCCTGGCACACACATCCTCCCACTCATGGTCACAGAGTGAGTCTGGTAACTCCCCGAACACCCCTGGGCACCCACTCACCAGTATCAACCAAACCAGAGTGCTGCTCGCTGATGGGAGCTGCATACTGGGCACAGAGCACCTGCAGGAACCGCTCCACGGGGCAGGTGTAGACGTTGGGCACTTCCACACAGAGATCCCAAAGGGGCAGCACGCCCTCCTTCCGTGTTGAGAACTGCACCACTGTGGGGACAGGCACTGTCAGACCTCCCCGAGGCCATGGCAGCAGGCAGTTGACTCCTGCCCTCTGTCTGGCATGGTCCATTGCTGCCCAGCCATGCCCACGAGGGGACACAGCCTCCAGGATGGCACAGAGGGTCCCCTCGGCTTTCTTTACCATCAGCGGCCGAGCTGGCTGCTCCTGCGCGCTCCTCCGTCAGCTGGCACACGATCTCCAGCACCTGGGACTCCCGCAGCAGCCTGTCCAGGGCATACATCTCCTGGCACCGCAGGGGACCAAAGGTGCCCAGCTTCTGCAAGGCACAGCCAAACCAGGGACTTCAGGGACAGAGCTCACTGCCCACATCACAGCCTCCAGGCTGCAGCAAAGCCCCCTTCAAGGGGATACATACAGCCCACCCCAGGGTGTCCCCCTGCTGCCATATCCCACCCTGCTCCTCACCAGCAGCAGCCGGTTGCAGTTGTTGAGGTGAAGCACCAGAGCCTTATCCAGGAACTCATTGCCAGTGCTCATGGGGTCAGTGCTGGCCTCAGAACCACTGCACATTCCGGTGTCATCTGCCCCCATCTCGCCAGCGCTGGGGGCTCTGGTGCTGCGCAGGGGTCTGCCAGCCCTCCTGCAAGCCACGGAGAGATCAAGGCAGTGGATCAGCACTGGACACCTGGATCTGGCCTTTCCCCACCCACAGGGCAGAGGACAAATCCCAGGGACACAAGGACTGCCTCCAGCCCACACCTCATGGAGAGCTGCTGGCTGACATTATGCCACCAAAAGGACCAGGTACTGCTGGTTCTTGACCTAGACCTTCCCTAAGCTGTGATGAACAGGTCTAAATATGCTTGGGCACCCCTGAACATCCCCCATTCCAACTGCCCCAAAGCCATCTCCTGCCCTGTGCCCCATGCCATGAGCCCCACTGTGCACCTCTCATCTTGGAGAGGCTCCTCCTCAGAGCCCTCTGAGTCCTCCATGTCAGAGGTGTTGAGGAAGCTGAAGCTCTCCAGCGCGTGCTCCACTGTCAGGCTGATGCTGGAGGCCCGGCTGAGGAAGACGCCTTGCTTCTGCTGTGGAGGAAGGCATGGTGGATTTGGATCCTGGCTCACCAGCCAAGACAGCCCTGCCACCCGCACTACCAGGCTATGCCATCATGGATGGCCACATCCCCATCACCCATGGGAACTGCCAGCAGGGTTGACCCCATCCCCATCATCCCCAGGCACTGCCAGCCAGAATGACCCTGTCACCCTCACCCCATGCCACCCCTGGGAGTCCCTCACCAGCAGCATCTCCTCCAGACGTTTGAGCTCCCGTTCGAGGGGCTGCAGCTCCGGGAACTGTCCCCGATAGTCATCCAGAGCTGAGCCCAGGAGGCCAATTGCCTCCTCCAGACCTGAATCCACCATCTTCCCCCGTGGCACCTCAGGGATGCTGGTTGGCAGTGGTGGGGTTGGGATGGGCCTCTCTTCTGCAGAGGCTTGTGCCAGTGCTGTGGGAATCCCAGTGCCAAAGTCACTCTGTACTGGCGCCTGGCTCTGCACTGGCTCTGCACTGCCAGCCCCCTCCTCGCAGGAGGTGGCCCATGCCACGGAGGCACGAGGCTTGGCCTCAGTGGCCCTGTCCTGCACTGCCACAGCAGCTGCCACTGCAGCACCAGGCAGAGGGTGTGCATCTTCCTTGCCCATCCCTGTGTCCTCTGTGCTGGGCACAGGCTCCCAAGGGCTCTCC